AAAAGAGTCAGAGATTAATAACAAGTATGATTCAATGCAGAGAGGTCTGTTAACTCTGTTAACTAGAGAGTGAAGAAGAAACACCCAGTGCATCATGGGAATCCCCCGGCAGCCTACGTCTATTGCAGCATAACTAAGGGAGGATTCAGGGTCACCTGGTCCAGCCCTAACTACTAACCTCCTCCTGGATACTGATGCCATACCTGGAAGGCTTCCTTGGCAATAGCGTCCTCACGGTCCCCGCGGCGCCACGGCTGGCGGTGTTCAGATTTCAGGCTGTCGGCGAACACGTCGAGATAGAAAAAGACGTACTGCTCGTGAGTGAGATTTTCCCGCCTGAACTCAACCATCAACTTCCTGAAGACGTCAGGAGAACAGCAGACGAAGACCACTGAGGAGGAGAGAGAGTCACAGATGAAGATCAGAGTCAGCCCACGGCGCAGCACAGACCTGTGGGTTGCCCCCCTCTGCATGGCTGAGCTCACCTGCTCCACACCTGCTCTAATGTCCACGCTGACAAGCAACACCTCACCTGCCTCAGTCAATGAGGTTTCACCTCTGCAGGGAAATGCAGTCTGATTGGACAGTCAGCCTCCTGGTAGCTGCACCTTTGGTACTCCTACATCAGCGGTCCCCAACCCCCGGGCCTCAGACCGGTACCGGTCCGTGAGTCGTTTGGTACGAGACCTGAGAGTTGAGGCTCAGGTGTGAAATGTATAGTTTTCAGCGTTATTTTGTTATCGTTTTTATCGTTTACTCGGTTTTCCTGGGTCTTTTCACGTGTGTTATGAATAAATCATCTTTTTTCAGTACTAGTTTTATTTTGGTGTATTTATCCGCGACACCTTAAAGACCGGTCCGTGAAAATATTGTCGGGCATAAACCGGTCCGTGGTGCAGAAAAGGTTGGAGACCGCTGAGCTACATCACCTCCATCTACAACTATCACCCTCCTCCATCACACGCACACACACACACACACACACACGGGCTCAAATTGTGGTCATAAATATTTTGTGCTTGTAAATCAGGATTTGTGTGTGAAACTCTGCACTCAAGCTTCAAGTTAAAAGTACGAATTTTGACCCTATTTTTCTTCCTTTCAGCTGATTGGTCAATGTCATGTCAATCACAAATGTAACTATCCAATCAGAGAACAGATTTGGCGTGGGAGGGGCTTTTTTGAGCTGCAGGTCCTTGAAGGGTGATACAGTTTGAAGCTGGAGGATCTGTATAAATGATCCCATAAGTCCTTTAACTGTTGGCAGCTGTTGAGAGGACACAGCTGTGGTGTACCAGTGTTCAGCAACACCATCATCACTTTAGTATTACTTACCCAGGACCGCTGCTGTGAGTCACACTATGCAGCATAAAGGCCGTTTCACATCGGACGCGGCGTGCGCTGTGCTCACCGCTAACTAAGAGCGAACGAGCGAGCTCTGCTTGTACATCGTTCTTTAGCGACCGCTCTAGGTGTGCTAGATGCACCTGATCCTTGTCGTTTCAAAACATGTATCTCTCTGACTTGTTGTATTATGTTCAAATGTTTAATAAAAACGTATCGCTCATTCATAACGAGGAAAGCTTTGTAACTGTCCCGACTAGTGAAGAGTGCGTCAACACTGCTTTCCCTCCGAGGTCGACGGCGCCTTTGAAAACGCTCTGGAGGTCCCCGTGTGAGCACGTCAACCTGTGAGAAAGAGTTTACTTTACAGATGTTTTCCTTCATGGTGTGGCGATAAGAGACGTGAAAGCGCATTTATCCTTCAAGGACCTGCAGCTCAAAAAAGCCCCTCTGACAGCCAAATCTGTTCTCTGATTGGATAGTTACATTTGTGATTGACATGACATTGACCAATCAGCTGAAAGGAAGAAAAGTAGGGTCGAAATTCGTACGTGTAACTTGTAACTTGAAACTTGAGTGCAGAGTTTCACACGGATTTTTTGGCTAAGGTCAACAAACACGCTCACCAATGAAGTCGCAGCGACACTCCTTAGACTCAGGGGCGGAGCTACTGTGGTGGCATGTGACACCCTAAAATAATGTACATAAGCTACATTTAACATTAAATATATAAATTGTAAAAATGAATGTATAACATAGCCCCTCCCCTCACCCAATTAAAATAGGCCTCAGTCCATAGCATCAAAACAGCTTTCTTTGTTGTCAGTAGCAACCTGAGGTTGTGTCCGAGCAGATCTTTGTTACACTCTGGAAATGGACTGAAGGTGAGTGTTATTAACCCCAATAAATCATGAAAAACAAGCTTTACATTCTTGGTGAAAAATATCTTCATGATAGATTTCTGCTTTTGTGTAAATGTAACAATATAATATAAAGTAACAACTTTTATATCTAATAAAACGTGTGGCATGCACACAGTGGGGTTTCCTGTCAGCAACGAGCAGCAGCTGTAACACGAGGGAGCAGGTAGGTAGGAGGACGCTGCAGGTGTGTTTGTGAGAACCTCTGTGAGGTCCTGAGGATGGTGGCTCAGGTGGAGCTGAAGGT